TAAGGTTCTCCCAATGACTTTCTATTACTGCTGTGGCTCTCCATCTTTGCCTTAAGACGATGCAATGTCTACACAAAATATACATTTAGTTGACAGTTTATCGAAAACTACTGAAATAATGAAACAAATCTCCCTTCATGATTAAGAGATTAACAGTTTTTAAGAGGTGGCGATTCAACAGTATGATCTGAAGCATGTAGTTTGTGGTGCTGTTAAACTGTAATGAATTAAACAAAGGTATTTCTGTTATTTAGCATTACAGATTAAGGCTTATTTTAGTAAATACTGTGGACAGTAAAGTGTTCTCAATATTATGAAGATCGATAGCATTGAACTAACAGCAAGTGCGTGAAAAGGATTTGCACAAAATGACCAGCAGGTGTCGCACAGCACCTCCATCAGATCTCCTGGAGCAATTTGAGAAAACCGCTCCACTGAATTAATTCTGCAGTGTTTAGTGTTCACTGAGGAGTGATGGTTAAAATCTGTAATTGTAAATGGTAACTCTGATTGGCACGATATATTGATCAACCGGTTTTGACGCTATTATGCAGCTGCGCCTTTATTGTGCATGAGACACCTGTAGTTAGGCCTACTGGTGGTGCAAAGTGCCGTCCCCTCACGAAAATCGTACAGTTAAGTATAAATAAAGCATAATTGCAAACGATAGATGTCTTTCTGTCGTCAAAGGAGAGATAGGCTATCGTCATGGGGTGGTGATGGCGCAACGAATAATACTCATACCTTTGGTGTGAGAGACCCGTGTTCAATTCCCCACTGTTACCCATCCACCAAGGTGTCCCTGAGCAAGACACTTAACCCCTTGTTGCTCCAGAGGCGTGCGACCTCTGACATATATAGCAACTGTAAGTCGCTTTGGATAAAAGCGTCAGCTAAATGAATAAATGTAAATGTCGCACAGCCCTAGGTGCCTTTTAATACCACAGGGCACAGAAGTCTGGGGCAGCTAAACAAAGGAAGGAGAAAGGAGTTGGTTACCTGGCTGAGAAGGTGGAGGTGTGCAGCCTGTCTCATGCAGCTCTTTTTGCTCCTGACTGTTACGCTGTTGACTGTTGAAAACGACTGTTGTCTTGTGGAGACGCATTTTTCATTGAGAGCAGTCAGCGCTAATCCCACTTACTAACAGCATTGACTGACTGCATTTCCTGATACTGCTTCAAAATAAACAGGGTACCCGCAGAGTCTTAAAAGTATTAGTCTTAAATTTCATATTCCAAAAATAAGGCCTTAAAAGTATTCAATTTAATTTACAAAGTATTAAATTTCGTTTACCAAGGCCTTAAATTGTTTCTTGTCCTTTCATAGGATTTAATTAATGCCGTAACGTCATAAATGAATACTTTGTGTGTGAGACTTCATAATACACTGTTTGGTGTGACTCTGATGTTATACGGCAGTACAGGTAACGTTACTGTTTACGTCAGTGTTTACCTTTACGCTCTGGACTGTGAAGTGTTCACGGTGCAAGAGCTCTGGCATCAAAGCTCTGCGCGAATCAATCAGTTGTTAGAAAAGAAAACGTCTCTGACGTGCTACTAACGTAAGCTCAACGACTCAGAATGGGCAAGTGTCTGAAATTCAGAAAGCCAGAGATACGAACAAGTTGGCGGACGATGCTGAGGTTAGCACGACAAGCTGATCGACGTGCGTTATGTGGATGGAAACATAAAACTAATGCACATTAAACTTACATCACCCAGATGCGCCAATCACGGGAACGACGGAAAAACAAACCGGAGCCCAACTCCTTATCCCCGCTGCTTTCAAGCCAATACTATATAATACTATATTTCAAGCAGCTTTAGAAGCTTTAGATGCTTTAGAAAAACAGAACAGGATGAATAATCACTGACGCAATTGGCATATTATATTACATTACCTTATCTAGTCGAGGTGTAACTAACTGTAACAACTCATAGCACACAATTTTTATTTATTATTATTTATTTGCACAATAGAACACATGCAATGGGCGGCTGTGGCTCAGGAGGTAGAGCGGGTTGCCCGTTAATCGGAAGATCGGCAGTTCAATGCATTTCGAAGTGTCCTTGGGCAAGATACTGAACCCCTAATAGCCCCTGGCGGCTGTTCCACCAGTGTGTGAATGGTGAGTGGTCTAGAAAGGCGCTAAACAAATATGGAGTATTTACATTTAGAATGCAATTTAAAGAGAAAAGAAACAAATCTGCATTGTCCAAAAAACGTTTACGCTAAAAAAATCTCAGTCACTGTATTTAAATAAAGACAAGTCTATCATCAGTTGGTGCAGAAAATGTCTTCAGAATGCAGGAAAATAAGTGTTTAGTGCTCGAAATTTTCTAGGCGTGGACCCCCAGACACCCCATTTAAATATATTTCAGCATTGAATATTTCATCAAATTGTGAAATATCATCATGTCTTGTTCTCATGAACCCAATATTTTAAATTAAGCATATGAGTGAAACGTCACACCCCTAATCTGAACCTCTGTCCCCACCACTTTTCCCAGCAGCGGGAAATCTTCAGGTTGCATTAGCAGCATCGTAAAACTGCATTTTTTTCACAGCTTACACTGCATCATAAAGCTGTTGCACTATTGTCTCTTGCACTTGAAACCAAAGCGGTTTTAAGATTTTTCTTGCACTTTACTCAGTAACGAATGTGACTGAAAATGTAGCGAATTCTTGAAACAAAACATAAGTAAAAGTAAAATTGCAGATTTAAAAAACTACTCAACTACCTTACAATTGCTATACATATCAGAGGTCGCACGCCTCTGGAGCAGCTAGGGTTTAAGGGTCTCGCTCAGGGACACATTGGTAGATGGGTCACAGTGGAGAACTTGCTCCACTGTGACATCTCACTTACTGTGTTTCTCTCTGTTGATATAGTGAAAGAGAAAAAGAGAGGGACTCAAATGTCACCGCTGTCAGCACTGTGACAAATCCTTCACAAAAGCTGGAAATTTAAAGGTTCATCAAAGAGTGCACACTGGAGAGAACCCGTACAGCTGTGACCAATGTGGAAAAACTTTCACTTACATTTGTTCTCTTAGGAGACACAAAAGCATTCACACTGCATCGTGCTGAACATTTTGTTTTAGAGCTCCTCCCATTGCCCTGAATCCAACCACTTGTTATCATGTGACTATGGAGTAGTGTCATGTGATGACTAGGGGTGTGACGAGACACTTAGCGCATGTAATATCATCCTTGCTGAGTCATGATTTAGTCTTCCCACCTCTTTGTGTCTTTGTTTGGGGAAGTAACCTCTTTGAATGTGCACATGGCTCCTTTTCACCTCAAATAATTAATTTTAATTCAGTTAGAAAAACGTGAACTTTAATAGCTCCTGTGTTTCAGCAGGTTTCCTGCTCATGTTCAAATGTTTCTGCACATTTGGAATCTCTCCCACATATCTGTCTTCTCTGACATGTCCAGAAGTATAACGTCATCATTTAGTGAGAATTCATAATATTTTAAGTCTACTTGCACTTAACTCTGCTGTGCATTACGTTTTTGCCCTGCTGGTAGCTTTCAGACCAACTGACCGAACCAGTTTGGGACTTCATGTTGGTCTGGTAGAAATCTTTCCACCAACTTCAGCACCTCGATCAAGTGCAGCTCACGGTCCCAACCAGAGCAAAGTATTCCAGTTACGTTACCACTCGGTCACAACTGTAGGAACCTGCATCGTCTGGTTGCAGTTAATTTGCTCCACCAGTCGATGTTATCAGTTATACATTTGTTTTCCCCTGTGAGATAATTAATCAGAATCACGTTATACTCACTTTTGTGAGATACTGTACTTGTGAAAGGGGGGTCGCGGTGACAAAGCCCACATGAATTCCTGACAGGTTTCAGTGCTGGCCAAAAATCCCACTTTTCATGTAATTTGTGAGATTTATTTTATTATCTGAGATGTTACTGTTAAGCCACATTTCAGAGATTAATGATGGGACAAGACTCCTAATATTCAACTGAAAGATTCCTTTAATATTATCCATTCAGGAAAAAAAACTTAAAAAAAACATTTCTGCTGTCACCGATCAAACATGGGTTTGATCCAAAAATGAGTAGAGATAACAAGATTCATTTGTTACAGTAAAACAAACACCACCCATAAAAACACACAAACCACACCCTTTTAGAAAGTCCCAGCAAACCAAGACACCATATTCCAGACCATTTCGGTGTATAATCCAAAGTGTTTATCATTAGACTGTCTCTTGCTATTCACAAGAACTCAACTCAACAACATAACACTTTGCAGCCATTAGTCATCGTTGTAGTTTTATTTCTGTGAGGTTAGGTAGAGTCAAAGATCACAGCCACAACCATTGAATTATTATGTATAATACAGAAATGTTGGGGTGGAAAACCAAGGCAAGAAAAGAAATAAAAATGAATGAACTGTCACTTCAAATCCATTGTCTGGTTGGGTTCTTTCTTGCTCTGGTGTTCTCCCTCCCACAGTCTAAAGCTTGATTTATACTCCTGCATCGCCATGCATTTATATTTGTGCGTTGGTGTCACCGTGATTCTGCATTTACACCGCCAAACGCTCGGCTGCTGTAGCGTACAGCGTCCACTGCGTAGCCCCCTACCCTAGCCCCCTACCCTACGCCGTCACCTACGGCGTAGGGCAGAGGCTACGGCGTTGATTCAACGCAGAAATATAAATTACACTTAAAGACGTACAGGTTAGGTTATCTGTTGTCTGTAGGTGTGAATAGTAACATAAATGGTTGTCAGTCCTCTTATATAGTGACAATCTGGCAATGTGCACTGGGATAGGCTCCAGTATCCCGCAACCCTGCCCCGGATAAGACGGAATAGCTCATGGTTGGGCAAAGGGGGGAAAAAAGTGTATTGTCAATGTACAGTATTGGAATCATTTTTTTTCAATCTAGTTTAGAAATATGTAATTTCTCTTTTGTGTACACTTAAGTCAATTAAAGTGGTATTTAACATAATAGGCATTAGCTAGAGATATTACAGCTTTTGGTATTCTTTTTATTTTATACCATAATACTAAATCAATTCTTCAGACCCTAGAGCTCATCTCCTCTTGGAAATTTAGCTGAGTCTTTGAGCACCACATTGTTAATGTTGATAGCAGCCCTGATTGCAGATTTCATAGACGTCTCCATCCAAGCGTGAGGGAAGGCTGTGTGTTCACCAGCAAAGTGCACCCGGCCTTCACTTCTGAAGAGCTCCTCAGCGTACTCTAAATGTTGGTAGGGCGTGAAGAGGGCGAAGGCCCCCAAACTGTAAGGATCCAAGGTCCACTTCTTTACCACCACCCCTGTGCAAAGAGACCTAACATGGTCGCCGTGGATCTTTGACAAATCTCTCAGAGCCAGCTCTTTCAGGGCTTCATCGCTCGCTCCCTGGAAGAGGAGGGAGTCATCAGCCCAGGTGTAGGAAGCCAGGAGGACGCCGATGGTCTTATTGTTTGAGAAAATGTGGCTTGGGTAGTAGATGAAACGAGAGGGACCGTCAGTGATGCTCTTTCCTCCGAGGCCGTTCTTCTCCCAGAATTTCTCGCTGAAGGTGAGGATGATTTTAGTAGAGCTGTCATAGTGGACCCCCCTTAGGGCCTCCATCTTTTGGATGGATAGAGGTGGATTGAAGTCCATGAAGAGGGCTGCTTTCGCTGTGGTTGTTACCAGGACAATGTCAGCTGGAAGGTGAGTAAAAGAGGGCTGTTGGCTAGGATCTGAGGTCTGGTACGATACATTTACACCATTATCAACCTGGCTGATGCTCTTAACTGGGGAGTTGAGGAGGATGCGGACATTAAGGACTTTGAGAAAAGCTTGAGGGAGAAGGTCTGATCCACCAGTCACTTCATAGTACCTTAAAAACAAAAACACACATTTTTAGTGTCATTGAATTGAGCACAAATGTATCTACATGGTTGCCTTGTTTGTATGTATTATATGATTTCAAAACTGTTTAAAAATATATAAAAAATATATTTGTATAATTTTATGAATAAAATTATAAGTAGTAGTTTGCAGGTGTTTTGAGTTAATTAGCTGATTAGAGTGTGGCACCAGGTGTCTTCAATATTGAACCTTTTCACAATATTCTAATTGTCTGAGCTACTGATTTTGGGATTTTCATTAGTTGTCAGTTATAATCATCAAAATTAAAAGGAATGAACACTTGAAATATATCAGTCTGTGTGGAATGAATGTAAACATTATACAAGTTTCACTTTTTGAATGGAACAACTGAAATAAATCCACTTTTTGATGATATTCTAATTATATGACCAGCACGTGTGTGTGTGTGTGTGTGTGTGTGTGTGTATATATATATATATATATATATATATATAATTAGGGGTGTGCATCTTCACTGGTCTCACAATTCGATTACGATTATCAGGTCTTTAATTCGATTCTATTTTCCGATGCGTCAGTTCAAGGGTGTGAATTTCTGGGCACCTCATTGTCTCATCTAGTGTAGTTACATGTTTGTGTCCTGTAAGTTGATTATTGTACCATCTACTATTGAGCACCATGGGCCTTGAGAAATGGCACTTAGTTCATTGTGTACTTGATGTGTGGATGAATGACAACAAATGAAATAGAACTAGCAGCAAAAAAGCGTCCTGCTCAGCTTTCAGACCGCAGTCTGCAGCCTGAAGAGGACATGTTAGCGAACTTAGCGCTAACTACCTTCACATTTCCAGCAGTTGGAAAACAACAGACAGAAACGGACATGCTTTAACCTAACGTTACACTGTAGATTTACAGCCAGACTGAAACGTAACGTTCATCTTTTCCTCTGCTCCGCTACTTTCACCGTCACCTACTGCCGCCTGTCACCTAGCTGTCCTTTGAAGAATGAGCAGAGGACGCTAGCTGGGCGCTACCGAGCGGCACAGTGTGCGGGTGAAAATCATTAACATTAGTTGCGCATTGATTTTATTGATCGTGTGTTAGTTTAGTAGCAGCCGTTACTCATTTAATCAACAGCTGTCTGTGCCGAACAGGGAGAACCACACGTCTACATTGTGTGCACCGCATAAACGGTCCGGAGCTGCACTTCCGCATTTCCGAGTTCCACCTTTTTTGTTCTGTCAACATTATGTTATCAATTAACCTTTAGAGAATTGATTATTGACATTTGTGAAGCGATTCATAATTGTCCAAGTCTGCATCGCAATGCATCTATAAATCAATTATTTTCCACACACCACACCCCTAACAAATAAATAAATAAATAAATATATATATAAAATTAGAGTTGAAAAGTAACAAATTACATTTACTCGTGTTACTGTAATTGAGTAGCTTTTTTGTGTACTTGTACTTTTTTAAGTTGTTTTTATAAGACACAGCCAGGGAGAGACGTCAGTGATCGTTCCCTCTGGCTGGATGAAGTCTGACACTCCTCATTTTACACAGGATCCATGATGATACGGAAGATTTTGAAACGAATGGCAAAAGTAGCATGTGATGGGTTATAAAGAGGAGCCAAGCTCCCCCGTAGTTCGCACCCTGCTTGGTAAAAGATGTTTTCATAGTTTGGTAAGAGTCTTTGCTCAAATTAGCCAAAAACATATTGGTGCATGACATCGTTAATGTCAGTTGGCACCTGCTGGTTACTAGTTAATAATGCTTAGGCAAAATTTATGCTAATGCGTATGAAGGCACATTCAAAGTACCACCTGTTTTAATGTAGCCTAAAGAGGGATATGACTTCATATACAGTGCAGTGTTTCCCGTTTTCCCAGTCCAGTGCGGCCCGCCATAGTTTAAATTGTTCCGCCACAGTTTCATAATGAAGCAAAAACATTCACTAAACTTCTCATAATAACATAAAAGTTCTCTAACGTTGTTTTGCGCCATTGCTTTAGCAAATAATCTGTCAAACGAACTGATCTGACATTGTGGCCTCAAGACTGTGATTTATTTAAATAAGTATAATAAAAAGAACTATAAATAAGATATTAAATCAGTATATATGTTTAGGAGCTTAAAAAAGTAACTAAGTCACTCCAAATTTTAATGAGCTACATTTTACTTTTACTTAAGTAGATTTTAGTAACTTTACTTGTACTTAAGTAAAAGTTAATCAGTATAACAGTAATTTTACTTAAGTACAATATTTTAGCACTCTTTCCATCTCTGATATAATACACTGTGCAAACAATGTGCCTTTTGAATAGACAATGTAGGATGTAGGGCCTCACCTCACGTTGTCATTGATATCTGACTGGTCATAGATCATCTCAGTCAGCGCTGTGTACATAAGGCTCTGTTCGTTAAGCAGGTCTCCAATCATCCTCACAGCTTCTGGACTCAGATTTCCTACTTCTTTCAGATACTCCTGTTAAACAAAGTCATGCAGTCAGAAAGAGGGATTAAAAGGAATTAAAAGGTCAGCAGACTCATTGAACTCCTTTAAGTCCATTCTTAAAATATACTGTTATCAATAATAGTAATAATAATGAACCTTTCCTGATTATATTTTCCTTTTAACTTTTAATTAGTGGTTTTTATCTGATTGGTTTTCACGGCCTCCCCGTGTGGATGAGCAGTGTAGGGTTCCTTCAGGGTTGGACTTTCCTTCCGGAGGTCCCTGTGGTCTGATTTTATTTTTGTATAAGTAAGCACATCGTGAGTAATGTGCAATCCAGAGTCAAAGGCTGCCTTGCCTCTTTTATATGCTAGAAAAACTCTTTTATGTTAATAACTGAAGTCCTTTTTGAAAGACTATTAATATAGGATTGTATGAAAGTGTGATCAGTAGTGAGGAGCTAACTCACCAAGGTATTCTCGTGCTTGTTAAGGACTAAGAGGTGCCCCCCCCCCCCCCTCCATTTTATGTTGCTATCTTGTTATGCCATTTATGAAACTGAAACTTACACCAACGTTACCTATAAATCATTGAGCTACATTTTAATTATGTATAATGTATCAATACATTTTTCAGATTTTTATAATTAATACTGATAATAATTGACACTGACAATATAAATTTGGTGAGGGGGTCTCATAGACGCACCCGGTGCGTCTCACACCGATGCTAAACTGTACCTTCAAAATCAAATAACTGCGGATTGTCACTTTTTCTGAAAACATTGGTATTGGACATCCTGCGATGAGAGCGGTCTGTTTATTGGCCTTTCTCTTTCTCTCACTCACTCACTCACTCAATCACTCGCACAACAATATTGCCAAAGCTATATATACATTCCATAAGGACAATTGATTTCATACATTTCAGTACATAAGTAAATAAAAGAGTAAAAGTTATGTTTGTGTGTAGAATAATAAAAACAGTAGGCTAAGTGTGTGTGTGTGTGTGTGTGTGTGTGTTAATGCGTTAATCCCTTTTTATGTGGACGCTCTGACCTACAGAGTTTTCATTTAGCAACTTATACGCACACAGAACGGCAGGAAAGTGAGCTGTTTCTGAGAGCCACATGGTCAGTTAGCCGCAAATCTGGAGTGCACTCCTATATGAGTATTTACGGTAAATGCTCCCACACGGAGCAGCTCATTGCTCTGCTCAGCTGCTGTTTCAACAAAAACGCCATTCAGGGTGAAAATTCAACCGTGGTGTTGCGTCGGGAGATGCAGTAACTTCACCAGCGGTGAGTAAGAAATATGAATAATACATGTAATCTGTTAAGATATGAGGAGAGTAAAAGTCCGCTAGCCGTTAGGGTTATTTATGTAGTGCTAATATCATATAGGCTAAAGCTCTTCAGCTAGTGGTGGTGACTAACAAATAAACTAATCTTGACAGTTACTACTAAGAAGAATTTTATGCTTCTGTTAAATGTGAAATGAGCCGTGTTTTGTGTGTGGTGGTGAAGTCAATTTAAAGTTAACTTTACTGCACTTAACCAGTCAAAATTATTTAATGAACGCTAACGTTAGTTACTGTACTTCTATGTCTTACACAGAAAACATAGGAGGAGGCATGCGGAGAACATAACCATATTCTTCAGAGGAAAAGAAGGAGGAGAAGGAGAGCAACAAATAACCCCCAAACAATAAAATAAAGTCCTTTTATATTTCCCTGCCTTGTTGTTTATGTGTACATACAGAGGAAGAATGTGAGAACAGCACACATTTCATCGTTACTGTGTGTTAGAGCATGGGAGAACAGTGGATACTTTTAATACAGCCCACACCCCTAATACTGTGTAACTATAACAAGTAGAGAACAGAAGAAAAAGATGTTCTTTCTTTACAACTGTCTGCATAGCTTATTCATATTGTGTAATGAATGAAAATAAATAGGCCTACTAGGCTTCTCTCTACTTTGACATTTAAGATTAGCTTGTTTGATCCACCTTCATACACATGTGACATTACTGTACAACTTGAGAAAGGTGAGTTGTTTTCTGCTCCAGCCTGCCTAAAAGAAAAGTGTTTTTGGGATTAAATGGACTTTATTAGCTGCTGCAGTGCAGGATGAACTCAGAATAGACCCATTTCTCACCTTATTATTCTAAATCATGCAACGAAGAAGAAGAAATGCATAAGAAATCCTGGGACAAAATCTGTAGTCAAAATCTGTCCACAGCATGTAGTCTGATGAACAAGACTTGTGTTATAGCTGACTTGGGCAGTGAAATGTTTAATTTTTTAAATTCATGTGGTCATAGTTGTCCACAGCTCAAATCAGAATATAAGAAGAAATGTTTTATACCACCTCAAGAAGGCTTCCTATCAGAAAGGTAGGAAGGTATTTCAAATGTAAAACTGCAGTCCTGAAATCTAAGTAAAGTAATTTCCCTGACATTTTTGTGTTACTTTACTTTTAATAGACGCATGTAACAGGTTTTATACTTCCTGTGAGTATAATCCAATCAATCTTATTTTCATACTGTATATCCGTTGTGTAATTTGATAAATTGTGTTGTATGTCGTGCTCGCATCTCAGAGAAGACTCTGACTGCAACATGCGTCTTTGTAAAGAGAGAAACAGACAGAAAAAGTCTCTAACTCTGCCTGTCAGCTCGCTCTGCTCCGTTAAAACTGAATACAGAATTGAATACGAGTGCACTCCAGATTTAGCTGCAGCCAGCTGACCGTGTGCTTCTCCCTATACCGCAGTTCTGTGTCCATGCATGCAGCAAACTGAAAGCACTGTCTGTCGGAGCGTCTACGTGAAAAGAGAAGGAAGACATGGCTGGTAGTGTCTTCAGAGTTGTTAAACACCTCAGCGCACTGAAGGAAGCCATCTGACTGTGTGAGGGGCAAGATCGTTGATGTCTGCAGGCAGAGTAGGAGCTCTCCTGTCTGACTGGTCCACCAATAGCAGAGAAGATGACCCCTTGAGACACAGCCCCTCCTCATTTGCATAATGAGGCAGAAATGCATACAGAAATGTAAAAAGGACAGGCAGAAATAAATACCATTAGAGAAATAAATAGGGTAGAAAATGCAACGGAAGAATAAAACGCACACATAAATAAATACATTTTAAAAAAGAAGTAATTAACAAATAAAGTTGAAGATTATAACGGACAATAAATAAATAAGGTAATTATTATACATTATTACAAAGGTGAATAAATAAAGCTAATTAAAATAGACATACTCATGTCTCCTTGTATAATTTAATTACTGCCTACATTTATTTATTTACTTTATTTTTTTGTGCATTTAATCAGATGCTTATTTATTAATTGAGCATTTATTTATTTCTGTATTTATTTCTGAATGTCAGAGTCAGTCCTCCATACTCAATGCAGGTGTAGTCCAGAAAGTGGGTTTACTGACAAGTTTGTTAACAAAGAGAAGAGGGAAACACTGCGTTCTCGGTTCCAGAAAGAGCAACTTAAACTCCCCTCACAGCCCACTGCAGTGAGAGAAGATAATCTGCTCAGACTGGGAACTGATCAAATAAGTTATAAATTCCTTAGTGCTGATCCCAAATAGTCTATGCTTCCATGGGTGGAGCCTGATTGAACTGCCAATCTAACGTGAGATCTTCGCAGCGGCATTAGGAAACGAGAATCATACCATTTTTGTCACGAACCCCCCGGTCTTGACCCTGACCTGCCTGTTGGTATGTGTGTGATTGTACTCTTTGAGTTCTTTTCCCCTTTGGTATGGCTGCAGTGTGCTTGGTGTGTTTTGTTTTTTTGTCTGTCTCTGTGTTCTGCTTTCTCCCTCATGCTCTGGGGCTGCATCCTGTCAATTAGCACACCGGTGTCTCATCCTGCAATCAACTCACCTTTAAGGACTCAACCAGCTCAACCTTCCAGTCACCGACGGATCGTTGTACCATACAGTACGAACACGCCAGCCTGTTTTTTGTCCTGAACTACCAGCATCAAGTCTCTGTCTTCTGCTTAGTCATAAGACTGGGCGGTGCAGTGGCAGTTAAACTGTTTGCTTTTTTAATTATTGATTCGGTTTACTTTTTCAGGTCAAAGCATGTGACTCACCATAGTCAAGCATTAACATGTAGTAGTAACCTGTTTTTCAGATATAACGTTAAGCTCAACTAAAGGTGTTTTCTTATTCAAGTTAACTATTAGTTGACTGTATGGCAAACATTTGGAAAGGGCATTTGCACTAAAAGAAAGCCAAGTCATTCTCAACACACAGTTTTCTTATTTACAATGAGATCATGCCGTGTTTTACCTTCACAGAATAATGGTCGTATTTTCTCAGGTATTCCTCGCAGCCATTAGTCTCCACATAATCTTTAACCTACAAAAAAAGAATAAGATTATGCAAATTCCATAATTATCATCTCCAAACATATTGCATGTAATCCTGGACTCAGGGACAACGTGTCTCTGTGGGAAGATATGCTTGATGCTGAAGCTCTCCTTACTCACGTGTTTGCCTGAGCTGTTTATTTGAAAACTCAAATTGCCATCACAGTGTTTAAGGATCAACATTTTCAGGAGGAGGAGGCCCAGACCCCCACTTAATGTGTGACCCCTCAAATGTTGAAGCTAAACCTGCGCTCTTGCTTTTTAACTAGAAAATGACTCACTAGAATGCAAGAAAACCGTCTCTGGGATGACAGGTTTTCTGAAGGGAACAGTGGTTAAGTTTCATCACCCAGTTTAGGCAATTATGTCTTGAAGTTGGCAAGTATGCTGTTCATAATTATTCATCACTGACCGTGATTATTACATACCTCCTGCAAAGCTTGCTGTAGCAGCTCTTCAGCTGACTTCCCTTTCTCACTTGGGCTCACATTGTATTTCAGGACATCAGGGTTTTTTTTCACTGTGGATGTTTTCTCCAGCAACCCGTTAACCAGATAAAAGGTGTTATCGTTAACCATGATGAAGTCATTAAGTGGGACCCCCAGATCTTTAGCAACCCAGAGGACGATCCTGTTGACAGAGGTGATGGTGGCAGAGTCAGCTGGTGACTGCAAGTGTTCTGTACTGTGTTTGAGCCAAGACAGTAAATGAAAAAGATTCTTCTGATGCTTAGCGGCTACATTTCTACATCCCCTTTGATCTTTTAGTTAAGTAACAAACACAACAGCGACGACCTCTTCTGGATTCTATCAAGCTCCATTTTCAGCTTACCTTTAATGTAAAAATAAATTGCTAGTATCCATGTTTGGATGGTATCTTTGCAAATCAACCTCATAAAAAGCTGGAATGCCAATTTGTACACTTTTCAATGTAGCTTCAAAAGTTTCTCTTTTACACAGTCATGTTGGTCTGAGATGGGGAAATCAACTCACTTGTGAAAACTTGGGATCATCATGGCTCCCAGTTCAGTATACCAGCCCTCTTCTTCATTCCTGTAGGTCTCCACCCGTCCTCCAACACGGCCGCTAGCCTCCAATATCGTTACCTTGTCAGTACAGGTGAATATAAACAGATATTACAAATGAGGCAGGTCAAGTAATGTTTCAAAGGTACTAGGTGTGGTTATACTACCGCTTTTGCTTTTCCTACTGCTTCTGGTACCACAATAACTATCGCTACTATTACTAGTCTTACTACAACTATTAACAACTTCTGCTACCAGTACTGAAAATAATTATACTGCTAATATTGCTGCTGATTCCAACACTACTGTTAATGCTACTACTACATTTGATGGTGAAACTACTACTAGAAGTAATAATCCTGTTGTTGAATCTGCCATTGTTATACTACTTGTACTACCACTGCTGCTACTACTACTATTCTACTAAACTGCCACAACTACTGCTGCTGGTACTAATAATGCAGTTTTTACTATGGCAAATACTGCTACTACTAGTATTGCTTCTGCTGCTGTAAAACATTTGCTGTCACTATTCTAACTATTCTTGCTACCTTCGTTACTACTATTAAAAATAATTACCCATAATTTGTTTTCAAAAAAGTTAGATGTCCCTGATTTAAAAAGCTACATGTGTAACGGCTCCAAAGGCCGTGAATTAGTTTGTGGTAATTTGATTTATTGTAAATGTAAAACACATAACATGAAATGAATGGCAGGGCCCTTAACATGGCTCCTGTGTCAAAATCTAATTATTGCAAATTATCATAAACCAGTGTGGTTACAGGGGTTAGGGAGAAGTTAAAAGGAGCCCTGCATGTAATTTATTCCCCCTAGACTCCATATTGGGTTAATCTGCAGGCCCCCAAACCCCCAAATATTTTGGTAGAAATATTATCTGTGTATGTGTGTGTATGTACCGTGTGTCCGGCGTCTTGCAGTAACTTGGCAGCTGTCAGTCCAGCCATGCCAGCTCCAACAATAACAACATGATGAGGTGTTTTAGTTTTTGGAAGGCCCGTCTGCACAGTCTGCAGCAGCTCATCGTAGTCATCATCGTTCAGACAATCATCCAGTTGTTGCTTCAGGTTGTTTGCAGAAGTGTGACTGGGGTACAGTGTGAGCAGCAGCACACTGACAGCAACTGGAAAACACACACACACACACACACACACACACGATCCAACTTTAATCAAATTATTTTTAATTTTTATTGATTCACTGTAGTTGCTTTTTCCGCTGAAGCAAAGTTGTAGAGCCAAAATCTAGTTGAGCCGCTACACCAGAGACACTCAACTGTACTTGACCCTGTTTGCATCAAATTTACAGTGAATACGTTTCTGTTCCGACATTTACAGGCTGGAGTTTCCTCGGTCGAATCTAATTCTTCTAGACAAGCAAAAATTGACCTCTCGTCATTTAATCATAAACTGATGAAAACCAAACTGTAGAAGTATAAACCTCACAGAGCAGAAGTATAACTGTCTTCAGTGGGTTTGAATCACAGGGAAAAAATCAAAGGACTGCAGAGAGGAAATGTGCACTTTCAGCACATATTCTCTTTTAGGCTACTCGTGGACAGAACTCGACACTATTTACTACCAGCCAGATCAGGTTGCCAAAAGTGTTTACAGAACAAAGTGTTTCAAAGACAGTAAAAGTTAAAAAAATTAAATAAAAGTGTTCCTTCAATATTAATTTTGCTAGAAAATACTCACAGAATTTCCATTTTGGCTCTTGCAGATCCATCTCAGTTATTAAGACTATTACGTCTTCTTTCCCTCTTCGGTGACATGAAGAGGATGGAAGAAGAGAAATATACACAATAGACAGCAGGTTTTAATCCTGGAACATTGTGACTTGTCTCTCTGACAAAACTGTGTCATTTTGTCAAAGACATTTACTTTTGCATTCAATGTAATTTGATGATCATATTATTCAAACATGTACAGAATTTATTTAACAAAAGAAAACCTGAAGAAACTCTCAAGAAAAACACAATCATGTGATTGTGAGTGTAACTTTACGTTTTGAGAAAATGTTATGGATTTTACAAATTCTGTAAGTTCCTTAAATGTACATATTTGCTGTTAAATTCAATATATGTTACTATTTGCACATTTGAATTATAGTCTAAGATAAAATTTCGGGAAAAATTACATATTCTTACCCTTTGAAGAGCTAAAATGTCAGAATCTGCCGTTAGAGTAACTTGAAAGGAAACCGTGGCCTCTTAAATACGTTCTTGTCAGTCAAGCATGACTGCAAATGTTATGCCCTCGTGTTTTTTTATAAGTTTGTCCTGGTATGCATTATTCACCATCCATCCATCCATCCATCCATCCATCCATCCAGCCAGCCATCCATCCATCCATCCAGCCATCGCCAACCGGTTAATCTGCGTACAAGGGCGTGGGTGCATTAGTCACCAATTCCTCAGAATCAGGTGAGAGAGAACAACCAGTCTAGAAAAACTAAAACTTAACATTATCAACAAGGCTGTGTGTCATCTCATGAAAACTCTACCAAACATGAACTGAAAGGAGTAAATAAAGTATTATTTCATTTACTGATAATTCTTGCTCTTTTCAGCTAACCACATGCTTGTCATTCATGTCTTTTTTTGTACACTTTGTATTTAGTTTAACTGTCCTAGCCTCCTGATTCCATCTCTGTGGATACTAAATGTTTACTGATCACCTGACAGCGGTAAATGGTGGCAATATAAAGGCTCGTGCCTCATGACTACACGATTTTCAGCGTCGGACGATGGCCGTGCTGTTCACACTACACAACTTGCCGACTTGTGACGGGAGTCTTGAAGTCATTGTGGCGTTCACACTAAATGACTGATCGGTGGCAGAGGGTCACACACTACACGAGCTGACACCGGCTCTGTCACCCGACGCTGGTCCACAAACCACTTTTTGTCAAGTGTTGTGAACTCAACCAGACGCACTTCAAAGAAGGTCAGATGGTGTCAAAAGAGGGAGGGAAGTTTCCCGCCCCGAGAGTTGACCTTTTTCACATGTAAAACCCAGAGACATCGCCTGGTGTTGGTAAGGACCGAAAGAGACTCAATCAGACAATGAATCGCTTAAGGATTGTGTATTCAAAGAGCCTTAGTGAACCTTTCTAGCCGTAAAGATGTCGCTAAAGACAGTCCACAGGACAGGAAAATGGGGGGGTTTGACCCCTTCTCCCTCCAGCAGGTCACCTCCAGCTCAACCTGACTCTTTTCTCTCCACAGAACGGCTGAGCCATAAACCACCATTTCATTCTCTGATAACCGGTGCGATAAGCCAGGAATGCAGAGAAGAAAGACCATAAAAACCCCTGTTTCTCGAACCAAGCAAGGTTCCAGTATAACTGTGTTTATTCTGTTTAAATAATAACCTTGCTAAGTGAGCAGCGGTGTTTGCCTCTGAGTTTAGTAAGTAATGACCCTGTTGTTATCCTTTAGTGATGTTTGAAGACTAGCAGACCCATAAGAAAGTAATCTTGAACTAGTTTTCTAACCTTTTTTCTGTGTTGTCTTAAGTCATCCCTGTTACTCCCTAGTAATCACTGTCTATTCAATGCTAACTAATGCTTTAGTTAAATGTTTCATATACAATTTCTTACTAAATTATCCATGGAAACGCTCGTAGGCATCACCAGCCTCTCAGTTAAAGTGGAATGTCTACTCTTTTCTTGTGTGACCCGAGCGCCACCAAGGGGACAAGAAAGGTATAACATGCAAGTGTTTAAAACTCGGCTTACACTGACAGAATCGTTAAGTAGGCCTAACTATCACCATGTAATTGCATAAACGAAATTTTACTGTCATGCTTACATCTAAATTGTCTCATGAGTTAAAACCAGTAACCAGCAAGTATACTGAGGACATGTAATCAAGCTTTGTTACGTTTTATATGACCATTATAACCTTTTTCCATAGTGTTTAGCCTTGTTTTAACTGTCTTTATCCAAATGTTTAGAACTAAGTATTTTTCCAAATGTCGATATTGTGGAGAGACAGATCAAAGAGAAATACACGCAACGTATATTTCTTTATCCCAAAAAGTTAACACCTTAGCGACGTTTGGGAGACCATCCCCAAAATTGACGTCACTACCTAGCGGGATCAATAAAAAGGCCCTGCTGTCTTTTGTTCCAGCTTCTTCCTCTTCAAAGAAAACTTTTTAACTTTCTGGAAACTAAACGTATACGTTCTCTTAACTTCTTTTACTTTTGAAATTCCGATTTTCGTTTCGTACTTAAATCTCCTTCAGATGAGCTGAGAAAGCTACGACCCTGAATCCCCAAATTTCTTAGCGGGAGATTTGATTTTTTTTATTCTGTTTGGAGCTGTCTGTTTAACCTCAGCAACATTAAATAGCCTATATTCCCGAGGCCTTGGGAACCTACGGTGAATGTGTGAGTTTATTTGATTTTGTTGTTGCAACCTCATCCGACCGTTGTGAGCAACTTTGGACCAGAAACTCAGAAGCCTTCATTTATGGCCTTGAATAAATGAAACCACGGCTCTGACGACAGAACCCTGAGTGGCCCTATAGCGACACCAAACGAACTGAGATCAGACCAAAAGCCTTGGCTGACAGCCCCGTTGCTGCAAGCGCTTCCCACAAGAGGACTCCGGACCCAATCCACCGGTTTCAACCCAACTCGAAAACGCCACTGGGGTCGGGCCAGAACCGACTTCCCGAGCCAACCGGCAGTCGAGCCTCGCCACGGGACCTGCGGCAACGGTAGGCCAAAACAAACAACGGGGACTCCATCCACAGTTAATAACCCTTATATTAGACAAATTAAATCTGCAACCCAATTTTGGTCATTCATTCCCTCATACTCGTAGAATTCTCTCCCTCTACAATATAAACTGAAATTCAATCGAACCTTACACAGGCTACCCTGTTTTAGTACCTCCTGGTTGTCATATTAACTGTTATCCCTGTAATATCACCACATTTACCCACTATTGTACCCTCTTTTGTTAGTTAATAAATTCACCTTGAGCACAGCGACGTATGTGTGTGTGTTATTCAGAATCTAGAGTCCCTATACATAGAACTTACGCTCAGATCTGAGACTGACTGATTGACCTTACGATTTCAGAATAACAACTAATGAATTAACCGAACTTCGTATATTTCTCAGGTTATACTCAAGGACCTAAAGCCTTGGGCGGACAAGCAAATCTTTAGGTGGTGCTCCTAATTTCGAGGTATAAATTAATATTCCCGGAAATATTATTTTTCATAACTGTATTAAAATTTTACGTAGCCGAGGTCTGCTACAAATGGTTCCCCCCGTGAGGCGTGTAAAAACTCTTAACTCTGATAGTACACACACATCCTTGACGCTGTGAAATTATAAATTGAAATACTGAAATTCTCCCACATATATTGGGTTTTAATACCAACAGTTAACCAATAATGAAGTCGCTCCTCAGAATGCTTTCTCTCTGCTAGATGTCTGACCTATTGCTGAAATGTGTGTGTAAAGTGGCCCTCTACTCCTTAACCTGCTTTTGAAATTTAATGCAATTGAATGGCCGCCGCGCCTGTGTTTATGATTCAATAATCTGTAATTGAGCTAAACTGTACCGCGTTCCAGCCGCGGAACTAATGTCTGATTGAGTAAGTTACGGTAACCGTATGAGATTGACCTACATTTAATTGTCTGCTGACGAGTAGCTTTGACGAAATAAATTCGAGAACTAAGATTGTGAATTCACTGTGAATTAAGGCTGGTTATTGTTTTGGCAAAAATTATAGCTGCGCTGCGCCAGTATAATTTGTTTGCAGCTATAAATAACGATTAGACGCGCGGAGCCGTTGATCGTTAGGTTATTAGCAACTACTCCCGTTTCTATTTAAACTAGCTACTTAAATAGTAAACAGCTGCTTGCAGTGGAGTTATACAGCGTCCGAAACTTGACAAGGAGGCGTTCCTGCCCCGAGCCAAGCTACGCTAAAATTGAGGCTTGGATCAAGCTGAATTAAATAAACGGGAGACAATCCCCTTTTGACCCCGCGAACGGGACTTGTATCGAGAGCTGGGGGGAACTAGTGCGAACTCTGATTGGTGAACTATTGCGTTGCCACGGCAACGATCTGCTAACTGCGTTAGCCTGAGGCTAACAGCTACTGGGTCCGAGGACCATAATCAGAGAGGAAGCCTCTCTTCTTCTGCTATATCGTGAAACGAACCGACCCACAGCGCCCCAAGTGGCAGGTCAGGTCCATTGAACGAAACAGCCCTAAGCTGCGCCACAGCTCCCCTCTGGGCTGGCGGAACAAATTACATGCTCTGCACTAAATCGATTTCTACGTCCCTAGTGGCAGAAGTGAGACTATAGAGTCTGGCGAATTACACCAGACTTTTGTGATCAAATTTGGATAACTGACTTTCAGACACATAAGCCAGTGTGTTAAGTTAATTTGGAGTGTTGCTCCCTGAGTGCAGGATAGAGCCCAAGCTCTCCTTCTTTGAATACCTACTAATTTTAAAGATCTCTTAGGTGTTGCTTTAGCAAAAGGACTGAGCCAACTTTGCACCCTAACCGGGAACTACACTGAATAGTTCTAATAATTTGATGCAATCTTTTATTCAAAGTTGGCTTAGCAAATTTAGATCCAGCTATGTTGGAATAAAAGTTTATTCTCACTACTGCTGCAATATCCCTGATTTGAACTTTCCCATTTTGAAGCCTTTTCTGTAGTGCTATTTTTGATCCTGGCAGGAATAAGATAAATACAGAATAACATCTTGATTTGAATTTTGTTAACCTTTTGTTATTTGGACTGTTGGAATTCGGAAGCCCACATTAAGCTTGATCATTTGGATTGATAGCTTTCTCACTAGGCTTTCTTTAATCCCCATTCATTATAAATGTAATTTGGACTCTGACTTTTATAGCAATTGGAATTTTGATAACTTGATAATTACCAAAGGGTAATTAAGACTTTCAGTTTAATCAGTTTTGATTGTATCTTAAATTTAACCCACATTAATCAACTTGGGGTTTTTGTTAATTTGACTCTGAACTTTGATTTTAGAAACCTAATTTTAATCTCAAATTGTATTTTAATAATCTTTCTCTTCAATTTGGAATTTGATTTTAGAAATTTCATTAGTTTTAATCTCAGAATTTTAATTTTTCCAATTTTGAACTTGATTCCAAAATTTAATTATTATTTTTATTT